GGAGAACTTCGTAAACCTTTTGGTTACATGAAACTAATAAATTTCACATACGAAGCGAAGTGTATAGCTTTCTTCCTAAATGGATGTAACCCTTCCATCCATGTTGTAAAATGCAACAAGTTTACACTGAAGCTGAAAGAACAAACGGCCAATAGCAGGCCACAAAATAAATAATTAGAACATTGAGTGAAGTGCATTGGTAGCAAATCAGAAATTTTGGTACGAATGAAACAAAATATCTTTTCTTGTTTAAATTCCTCAACCTCGTATAGGATCATCATCATAAAATTTGCAATAAAAATATTCCTTTCTTCCAAATTAACAATATTATATTAAAAAAGAAGGGCATAAATCTTTAAAAACAAAAAAAAGAAGATATTTACGCCAACAATAAGAAACCTAGGGCTTAATAATGGTACCATCTTGTTTGGCCCAAGAATTGTGTATTCTCACATTATTAAGTACAATCACGCAAATTGTGTAAATCATGTAAATGTCATGCGTTTACCACAGATAAATGTCATGCTACAAAAAATTTCTTTGAACTTGCTGTATTTGAAACAATTGTTCGAATTCTTTATTATATGCAACTGAAACAATTTTTTGCTAATGGTAAAAAAGGGGTTTGAATGTAGGGGACTGTTCTTATTTTACCGGAGGGTTAGAGGAATATAGGCAATATAGAAAATGAGATCTATGGCAAGAGTATTCTACAAGATACTTAACTAAAATGATGTATTATTGACTTTGTGCTATTTTATAATGCACATATAATGAAACCGTGGATTATTCCAATCAAATCAATTCTGTTAAATTTGAATATAAATGAAATTGTTAGTGAACATAAAAACAGATTTTAAATTTAAGTTGAAACCACTTGATTCATTGTACAATTAAACTAGAATCAAATTTTTTATTTTCTTTTTAGGTTATATGTCGATGCTAGACAAGCTAGGAAAAGTGAAGCTTTTAAGGCATTCCCGTTTGAGATCTATTAAAACTTATCTCCCCATGGAACTCAAGAACAGTCTTTTGTTGTGATGACTTCAAAACTTTCTACATAAATCAATGCCATAATACTTAGAAATGGAATCGGACCAATAAAAAGCACACCTACCCAGATGGTGAAAAACTATGTAGTGAATTCCACTGCAACAAGTTTGAAGTGTGATAGTTAGGACTAAAGGGTAAAGCAGTACCACTATTCTTTAAAATTTATACTCTTGCAAAATGAAGGCTGGACCAGCATTTAATGTGAGTCGGCCACCCAGACTTCAACATGATCAACAGATGTAAACATTAGCTGACAGTAATGCTAGACTGACTAAATTTTGAGACCAAATTTGAAGTCCAAATAACATGACAGTTGACTTGAGTTTCTTTGATTGATATCATATCATTTGGACCCCAAAAAAAACTTCAAATAATCAACTGTCATATCATTTGGGCTACAAATTTGGTCCCAAAATTTGGTCAGTCTAGCATTACTCAAACATCGGTCATGTTGAAAAATTCTAGCTTCCATTCTTCAGTGATCCCCAACTTGCTATGACACACCAAGTATTATTGGAGTTGAGAAAACATCTTAAGAATTAATAAACGTAATTAAAACAAGCTGCTCAATTATTAGTTTTGTCACCATACCCTACAAATAGGAAATTATATGGCGCACCAGTCCTACAGAACATGTTGGTGTTACATAAGCTGTTGCAGTAAGAAAGTAAGGCAAATAATGGTCAGACTCTCGCTGGCTGTTTGTCTGGGAGAGAAAGGGAGAAGAAAAACAGCGCCCACCTTCTTGTTTGAGATTGCTCAAGCATAGCATCCCCAATCACAGCATTGAGTACTTTTAAAGTCAAAGCAACAGGCTACATATACAGTTTTCTTCTGAAAATAAGCTCTGTAAACATTAAATGTATCAATTGTACACAATGTGACAGCCAAGAGCTATTATACATTACTCATGGCTAATATTCAAATGCATTGCCCATACTTGATATCACACACACACAAAAAAGAAGAAGAAAGACAACACAAAAGAATAATGCACCTGGGTGGAATCTAGATGACTTATGTGTGCGGTCACCGCAAATGAGAAAGTACAATATAATTCCTTTGAATTCAGGCCTATATGAAGGTAACATCATGTATAAGAAGGTATGAAGTGGTCAAATATACTTAGTTATCATGGACAAAATGATATGACTTGCATTGCTGTCAAAATTGCTTGATTTTTTTTAGCAAAAATGAGTCGTCCATTTGTCAAAAACCTAGAACATCAAAAATTGCATGGGTCAAGAAAGATTTCTATGAACATAATAGGTAATAGCAAAGATATTCCACCACAAGGCTACAAATCCAACAGCAAATCAATCTAATCAAGTTCACTTTAATGGAAGTAGTAGCCAATATGGTAGATGTGAATTTTGGGAGGTCTGCTTCCAGAAAAATGACCTCATCATCTTTCTTGATTGTCTCATTTCCCATTTCAACCAACTTGTTGCCTAAATGATTGCTGCCTAGAAAGTCAATTATTCAGCAACACCTAATTATTTGGAACTCAACATCCAAATTTAATGATAATTCTAAATCAACATGTATTTATAGTAAGTTATGCATAAGAAATTCGTAAGTATCATATTACCTTTCTCGTCAATGTACTAATTAAAAAATACATGAAAAGCAAGGAAGTGGTGTATGTTGCATATGTAGTTATGTCAACTGTGATAGAGTACCATATTTCCAATTCTCCATAAGAATTTATGCTTTTCCTATAAACAGAATATGACACAGTGTGGAAAGCTTCTGAATCTATTATCATGAAAGTTCAGGAACTGGGATTTCTTTAAAGGCTAAACAATTGATGTGGAACTGATACATATTATGCTTAACAACATACAGACATACAAGAATTTCATAGAAGTCTATAATCAAACAGATAATGCGCAGTGTTCTAGCGCTGGAAGAAAATGATCAACCTAAAAGGAACCGTGTGTAGAATAGGTAGTTCTACCTGTTCAAGCTTTCGTAATGCAAAGAAAGAGTGGATGGAAACATTTTAATTGATGAATCACGTTTTCATACTTGAAACAGTTGGTAATGGGAGAGGAATGGAGTGACCCAACAACTAATTTATAACTGACATTCAATGCAGAATAAATTTTCTTTGAAAGACAGAGAAGAGAATAGGCTCATGATTGAAGAGAGAGTAGCTCCACACATTTAATTCCAAGAATTTGTTGAGCCACAAAGAGCCGATTGCTTATTCAATTGAGAGAGAGAGAGAGAGAGAGAGGGGGGGGGGGAGATGAAGGGTGGGGAATGAAAGACTAATTCATGTTACCATTAAAGGAGGGGAGAAAGAGAGAGACAGACGAAGATGTGACCTCTGAGGTTTTCCCCAAACCCATGCTCCCTCAAAACATAATTCCCAAATTCAGTAACTTTTAAACTTAATTCCCAAACTCAGTCTTTTTTTTAAAATGTCATTTGAAATGACGTCTTCTCACCTACAATCGTCATTTGGAATGAAGATTTAAAGTTTTAATTTTTTTTCCAGAAAACGTCATTGCTAATGACGTTTTTAAAGTCGTCATTCAGAATAACGTTTTTAAAGTCGTCATTCAGAATAACGTTTTTAAACATGATTTTTTAAACGGTAGTAACAGATGTTAAAAATTATAAAAGGGATGAAAATGTCATTCAAAATGACATTTTTTTAGGCAAATAAACGTTTTCAAATTTTTTTAAGAAGACCTAAGTCGGTCTCTCCTCTCTCACATCGCTCCTCCCTCCTCCTCCTCCAACCAGTCAGTCCACTGTCTCAGATCGGTCGATCTCTCCTCCTCCTCCGCCTGCAACCACTCAGCCACCGTCTTCTCCGACAAGAGCAGACCACTCAGCCCCTGTCCGACGAAACAGCCAATACATTTACTTTGTTTTGTTCAGCTCTATTAGCTGCGGCTGGGGTTTCAAACCAGACCACTCTCTTTATCTGCTACGTTCTCATCTTCAGTAAGGTTAGAACTACGATTTGTGTTTTGATTTAAGGGCTTGTTGGTTATATGGTTTTGGTGGGTTTTGGTCTCCAATGGATTTTAGTAATTGATCTAAATCCTCTTAATTATAGTAGAGAAACAATTAGGGTAATTACAATATTCCCCTATCTAAATTAAATATGACTAATACAAAAAATAAGAACTCTTAACACCTTTCTCATAGACCTTTAAAATCATCACAATTATCTTCAAGAATCTTCACGTTCCTCTCCTTCCAAATCACTCATAACGTAGCAAAAAGGGACTATGATGTTGGTCAGGCAAATATGATGTTGGTCTGCTGTTAAGGTCTTAAGGGGCTTCTTGTAGCTAATAGTTGCGATGCTTTCCTTTTATATAGGCATCATGAGATTTTTGTTTAAACATAGCATTTTTAGGGTGCCTTCTTCAGCTTGTAATTTCTATTTGTCAAATTCTCATGGAAGAGTAAACAAAATAGCTGATGTCTGGCTTGATTGCTTGCGATTATTTTCAACATATGTTGTTAAAAGGTCATCCCTACTGCATTTTTGGTGTATGAACAGTTTCTACTCCCTTGTAAAGGTCATCTTAGCTAGATTCTTTCTTTGGAAAAAATAATCCAAGTAGTTTCTTATTGGTGACTATACTAACTGAAGATTACAATAAATTACCTTATTTGTTAATCTTTTATTATGATTTTTACACAACTAGTAATTCTTTCAAAGTGGCGCTTCTAATTCTTTTGGCTGTTTTACACATCTACCACTGGAAACCTTGTTATGTCTCATCATTTTTTCAATCATTGTTGTTTCTTGATTTCTCTAGTTAAAAAACTTTGATGTGCTATCTAATTATCTCGAAAGGTAATGTCAGCCACTAATTGTATTGTCAATAATTTTCTCTTGATTCTTGGCAGATGGGCTTCCAATTTGTGGGCAAAGCAGTGTATATTGTGTATGGGTTGCTGCCCTGTCATTGTTTATGGAGCTGCTAGGTTTCTCCACACAGACATGGCTCACTGCAGGTGGTCTTGGAACAGTCTTGTTGACACCGGCTGGTCGTGGGGTGTGATTTATATTTCTACTGTGTAAAATAGTTCATCCCTGCTATTCCTTCACCAACATGAAGATTACTCCTGAAGATATATATGTTCTCTATAGTTCAGTCGATTATATATTTTGATCCATGACCACTGTTTTTGCCATTTGTAGATATTCACAAATTTTCTTTCAAGTGCAATGATTCATGCAACCCGTCCATTTGTCGTGAATGAGTGGATTCAGACAAAGATTGAAGACTATGAAGTTTCTGGTACTGTTGAGTTCCGTATATGAGTTTTGCAGCCATGTTCATAAGTAGATCCATATGAAGAGGACAAAGAGAAAGATAAGTTATTTTTAGTGAGTTCACCTATTATTTAGATTTTTGTTACCTCATTTATCTCATGAGTGTATCTGTTTATCATTTGAACCTGCTAAATTTAATCCTAAATTCACTAATTTCGTGTTGATTTCGTGTCGGCTGAGTGTTGTATAGGATTGCCAGAATTACATGGAGGATCAGGCAACTATTTTAACTTCAAGCATAGAAACCAAAAATATAAAAGAACAAAAGACTAAATAGATAAGCAAGGTTCAAGTATTTTTTGAAGTCTCATACCATAAATACTAGGTTCGTCCCTTTCCTCGGAAACCCGGATTGAAACATCCACAAATCCTTGAGGTTTGGTGGAATTCCTTTTCCGCAATTCAAAACTCCCCACTTCCTCAACTGGTTTTGAGTTTGAAACTTCAGAATTCTTCATGTATTTATCAAGAAATTCTTTCACAACAACTGTAGCTGTCCCCTGAAGCCTCTCTCTAAGAAAGATAGGCTCTCTACTGTAAACCTCAACATTCAGAGCCAAATCTCCGAGGTTCGATTCGGATCAACCCACCCAACAGCCAACCATTGGAGCTTCCACAGAGATGAAGTTCTCCGAAGTCCCCTAGCAGAGATCAGGCAGATTTCAACACTGAGTTTACCCATTTCAGACCAAGTTTCTGTTTGTTGAAAGGAACAAGAGGTGGTGAGAGAAATTTGTCCCCTGTGACTGTGAGGTTCTGAGACAGGAGAATGTGATGGCTGAGTGGTTGGAGGAGGAGGAGGAGGGAGCGATCTGAGAGAGGATGGCTGACTGGTTGGAGGAGGAGGAGAGACCGACTGAGAGAGGGATCTGAGCGAGAGAGAGAGGGAATCTGACTGAGATAGGGGTTCTGATCGAGCGAGAGGGGATCTGACTGAGAGAGAGATGCGTTTTAAAAAAATCTGTAAAGTAAATGAGGAAGGTTTTAAATAAGTCATTGTAAATGACGTTATATATCTCTTTATTTTTTATTTTTTTAAAGCCTGTTAACTCCGGTTAGTTTTATTCATCTTAAAAATCGTCATTGCAAGTGACGTTTTTAATAAAAAAGTTTTAACTCTCAATCCCCATTGCAAATGAAGGTCTCACAAAAAAATTGGGTTTGAGAATTATATTTAAAAGTGATTGAATTATGAAAATAAATTTTGAGGGAGACTGGGTTTAGGGAAAACCTCGGTGACCTCTCCCAATCAATATTTGGTAGTGAGGTTTGGTAATTAAATTAGGGATTGAAATGACTTAATTCTATTGCTGAGGGGTAAAAAAGAAATGGATTAATTATAAGTTGTACTCTGAAAGATAGTGGGAATTTCAATTTACACCCCTAAAGATCAAAAATTTTAATTTGTACCCTCAAAGATAAAAATTTGTATCAATGTGCACCCCCAAAGATAAAAATCTTAATTTGTACCCTCAAAGATAGAAATTTGTATCAATGTGCACCTAAAACTAAATTGATAAATTATATCTAGATCCCCTCATGTTTGTCACTTAATCATTTTGACCCTTTCACATTTAGAATATTACTCTTACATCTCATGACGTTTGTGCACCTGCAACATGTAATCTCTTTTCATCCTACAGAAATCAATCTGAAGTTGCCTTTTGACTACTGCTCACATAAACTATTATGTCTCCAGAGCAAGTTGAACACCACTTTCATCTCATGGCGCCCTCCCGCAAAACATCTATCATGTTGTAGATGAATTTGTCCGCCTTTGATTGAACCTGAGCTTACACAACATTTCCAAATTCAGTCAAGTAACAGAAATTAACAGCGAGAGAAACTCGGAGCATTTGATAATAACAGCAGTTTTTATACATGTTTTGTTATATTTTCTTTAATACTCTTAATAGTTTTAATTGGTTGCCAAAAGGCTATTATATACCATTGATATATTTGGTGGATTATAGCTGACAAATGTAACGTTGCAAAGGGCAAAAAGATGAGTATATAAAAGTTGTAATCAAAATAATGGTTAAATTATGTGAATAACTATTACTCGAGCGGTGCATTTTGAGGAAGCAACCATTATCACCTTCTTAGCAAGGAAAATTGCAGCATCAACTGTACCCTCCGCATAGATTGATCTACCACAGACATTATGCTGAAACTCAAAAGAAACTCTGAAAAAAGGAAACACATCTAACATAGTTAGTGATGCTTACTAGGAAGACAAACAGAGAAGCACAAAAGCAATGGTTCGTAAATTACGTTTTATCAGGTGACTCCAGTTGATACTTGTGGAATGCATGACCGGATAGGTACTCTTTTGGGACACCCACCATCTCAATTTGTTGCTTGGGATCTCGTATTATTTTTACCTGATGAAATGTTAAATAAAGGATCAAGGAACATACCTAACAGTTCTGATTTGATTTTTGCCATACAGCTTATGCAAAGAGGAAGGAAAGAGACAACAAAAAGGTTTTAGCCCCCCAAAAGGATAAGTCTCTACATGCCAACTTACATTACATGAGTACCAGCAAAAAAACTTACATTACATGAGTTACTAGGATCCTATAGCTTGCTTTAAGGTCTAGAAGCAATGAACACTACTCACAACAAAGTATGCCATAACACACCTATCATGCTAAACCATCTCATAAACCCATAACGAGACCCATAGTCCCTAAATAGTTATCGTATAACCAAAGGGGTGCAATTTTTTTCTCTGGATAAGAAACAAGTAATTTACTGGTGAATAATCAAATAAGAAGGATACAATAAAGGTGGACAAGCTGTACAACCAAAGCATAATAAATCAAAAGTCATGGAAACCAAACTAAAAATCGCAGAAAGCATTCCACATTGCAAAAATACATAACAGAGGAGTTCCTTGAAACTCCTTAGTAACTAAGGCCCAAAAAGAAGCTAAAAAGTAACTCGTTTCCCACAAACAAGCACCACTCAAGATAGTTACCATCAATATATTTATGAATCCACCAAAATCTTGATTCAATGCTTGACCAAAGCTTCAAATGCGGACAGTAAGGTTAAGTTATTGGGTCTAGTCCCCTTACCATATGCTTAGAGGCCGAGAGAGTCTCCATATGAAGCCCAGTTCTAAAGACTGCAATATATTTTAGTCATTAGTTCCAAAATGGGCATCAGCAAGGAAATTGAGGGATGAGTAGAAGCTGACTGTTTTGGAAAACCAATAGGGTGTTGATCATGACCTAAAGAGATGATGTGGGTATAACGTTGTTCAATCTGTGGAAGTGACTTGAGATTAGAAGAATCAGAGCAAGAAGCAGAAGAACCAGCACGGCATTGGATGAGAGAGATGATTCTAAAGGCCTTAAATAGATGAGATTGGCCTGAAAAGTCTGTGCAGCATGTAAGAAGGGACTCCACCATAGATTTGTCACCTGCAGTCAATTGTCTAGGATTGATATTTGTGACTTATGTGATGTCAATTGGTATTTTCTTTGAGTTTCTGGTTGCTTAATGTTTTGTTTCAATTTTACAGGAGGAATGAATTTTTGGATTTGTCACAGAAAAAAGTTTCTTGGTAACAAATCAAATGAAGAAGGCAAGTGTTGTGTCAAGTAACATGGTAGCCGAGTACCGACTGTATGATGGCACCCACACTCACCACATCCAGAATAGAACAGTTAGCAAACACCTCGCCCACCCTTTTCCTCAACTAAAAAGGATCAGTTCATCCAAGTAAAACCACAACGTTCGACAAAGCTTCAATTGCACTCAATTGCCCGCAATTTCAGCTGTACATAATCACAAACACCAGCACCCCCAGACAATTGAGCAAGACCAGACACACACACACACACCCCACCACCCCATCCCTGGACGCCCAGACCTCGAACCTTCCCCTCCCAGGCGGAACCCGAGTTCCCCCCAACCTACATACAGATAATTCAGTAATACCTCCCACCACCGGTCACCATCACAGCCCCACCCATCACCATTGCACATGGCCCCAACACTATCATTCTTCAATTTTGTTGCTTTGTTTTTATATGACATATAGTATGTGAGAGTAGAGATAGAGTTTGGGGGCTTGTTGCAAGTGGAGCTTGTCACAGATTCATCAACACTGCAAGAACTCAAAGCTTGGAAATCATCGTCTTTCTCTCTTCGAGGCAACACTAAACCTGTGCATATGTTTACAGGGGTATTGGCGGTGGTGGGTTGGGCTGAAGTTTTGGCTACGAGAGAGGAGACATTGACCGACGAAATACACATGCACAACACATATTTAAAATGGAGAATGGAAATGTAAAATGTCACTTTTCATTAGGGACAAATTTGTAGAAAGACATCGCCCATTTTCTGCATTGTCCGACAATTTCTGACAAGGGAATGTCATTTTATTTTCAAAAATCAAGGGGTCGTCTCTGTAATTATATCAATCTACGAAAGATGTCATTGATATTTATCCAAATTATTATTAGGATATTTCAACAAATATTGACAAACCGAAGCCTTTCAAGCATATAAACTGCGTCAAAATCCATTTACCCAATTAAATATTAAGTATTTCATTGATGATTCATTAGTCATTCTTGAGAAATGGAGAGAAAATCCAATACTACTATGTACTATCATGTCCTAAACACACCTGATCTACTTCAAACGAAACCCCCAATTTCTGAAAGCATGAAATGACAGCCTTGGCAGTTCCAGACGTGTCCAGTTTCCCAGCTTGAAGTGACTACATCACTGATGGGACTCTTCTGAAAAAGCCTATGATGAAGACACGCGTCCTCGGGGGGGTTCTAGGACAATGTTGCTCGGGTTCAAGCACCATCGGCAAAAGCGTCCTCTCCCCCGAGGTACCTCTCATACAGGATCACATATTCGGTACATTATACAATGACATGTGTCCTCGGTCACCATGTACCTCGGGAACACACCACCCCTTGGTCCCCCGAGGTGAGCCTTTCCTCGGCGCCGAGGGTCACTCCATCCTGGACGCTTCCTCTACTCCCGGATAAAGTTACTGACGTACGGGACATCAGCCTATGCCAGTCTAGACTATTCATCATGACCCCGTCTTACACAAGTAATGTCAGAACATGCTGGAATACAGAAGTCATAGCCAATACGTGACGGACGCGTGGCATATGATATCACATCAAAAACAGGCAAACCGCACGCTGTTGCTGACATGCGCTTTGGGAAGCAAACAATTAATTGCGCCCTTCTGTTGACGAGACCGCATTCAATGCGGTAAGGTCCGGATATGAAAGGCAATAAATGCTCCTATTACGGAGCATTTATTACATCCTTCCCGAAAGGAGCATATTGTACCGTCGGCGTCCCGACGACTCAACATTGATTGCTCGGGACCCCGAGCAGTCAATTAGAGAAGACATTCCTCATCAAATCAATACACACGCTACCAGTGCCTGATGATCACCTACTGACCACACTGACAGCAATCATGAGCTTCTAAGGTATAAATACCCCTCCCAAAAAGGCAAACGGGTATGCAATCACAAACTCTCTACTACGAAATATCCTTTCTCAGTGTTTTCTCCTTCCTCTTTCTCATTCAAAGACTGACAAGATCGTCGGAGGGGATACGCCGGAAAACACTCCGGCGCCCTTCTAACTTGTTCTCTTTTGCCCCAGGAAATACCTTTCGCACGTACCGGATCGTTCCTCCTTCCCCAGGATCGTAAGCTGTTTCGCGCAGTGTGTTTGGCCACTCAATCGGCTCGCCCAAAGTTCACCAGGGGAGAGATCTGTTCCCAATATTTTATATATATCGTGCAGGATCAAGCCCGCACAATCTGGCGCCGTCTGTGGGAAACGAGTAGTTTTCCTAATCTTTTCTCTAAAAAGAACAGTGACCATGGTGAACACCAGACAGAAAGGGAAGGGACCCCACCAACGGAGTCATGAGTTGCAAGCTCCCTGCCATCACGGAGGGAGGGATCGCACCAGTACGATTAAAAGTGTCTCTACTCGGTCAAGGGGGGTAACCCCTCAAACCAGTATGGGTATCAGGTCAGGAGGATCAGCCCCCTTGGCCCGTCAGCTGGCATAGGTGATTGAAGAGAAATTTGGCGATAGATTACGTCAGCTGGAGAAGGACAATGTAAACGTCCTTAGCCGGCTCGACGAGTTTGCTGCCTCAGGCGGAGGGTCGAGGGATTCATTCCTCTCCCGAGGACTCCCCGTCCGTGAGGCGGAGACGAAGGATCTAAGGAACCACCTGGATCACAAAGCAGAAAGCTCCAGGGCCCCGAAGCGACCCAAGGCCGGCGAATGCCATCTTGACAACCATTCCAGGAAAGCAAGGCCATTGGCCCTGGACGACCTCCGGCGAGGTTTATCCAGACGGAGGAAGGGAGATGAATCCGAGGAGGACTCAACCCAATCTACACGACGCCCAGGAAACGAGGGGCTTACCGACGAACCCAGAGACTTCAGGAGGCATCCCGCAAGGGAAGAAGTAGATCTCAGAGCCCGATTAGACTCCAGGAGAAAGGGCAAGATGATCCAGGACGAGGCCGAGGACGAAGTCATGCAAACACCCTTCACGAGGGAAATCAGCGAGATGGACGTCTCAAGAAAGTTCGTCGTGCCACGATTCAAGACCTATGATGGGCGATCTGATCCCGACGCCCATATCAGACAGTATAAGCAGATGATGTCCCTCTATCATTCGGACCAACGGTTTCTATGCCGGGTGTTCCCTATGAGCTTGGGGGACTCCGCGATGAGATGGTTCGAGGCGCTTCCCCCAAACAGTATTGGGTCCTGGAAAGAATTGGCAAGGCAGTTCCTAACCCGATTCATTACGGGGAGTAAGCGCCCAAAGGACATTGGATCACTGCTGACTCTCAGGAGGAGGGAATCCGAGACTCTTCGCCAGTACGCCATCCGATACTGGGAAGAAGTCAATGAGGTCGAGGGATGCTCGGAGGTCATGGCAGCAGCATCATTCCGGCTCGGCTTGGCCAGGGACACGGACCTGTACCGATCCCTGACCAAAAAGACTCCCTCGGATATGGGGGAACTGATGGCCCGAATCAACAAGTACTCAAGGGTCGAGGACGAGATGGGGGGCAACAAAGGCCGAGCCCTCCAACCCAAGAGAAAGGAAAAAGAGCACGAAGATATTCCCCGGAAGGGATTGCTACCCCGTCCAGGGGGTTCGTCCAGAGGAGTTCACACCGTCTTCAAGGAACCCATCTTCAGGTTGCTCCATAAAATCAAACATGAACCGTTTTTCAAATGGCCGCCCAGGATGCAAAGCGACCTCTCCACCCGTGATCAAACAGTAAGATGCTCATATCACCGGGATGTCGGGCATCGCACCGAGAGCTGCAGGGTGTTCAAGTCATTCTTGGAGAGCTTAGTCCGAGATGGATATCTGAAAGAATACATAGAGCCCAGGCCAGAAGAGAAACGAGCTCATGCCCCGACCGAGGAACCAAACAACGTCATAGACGTCATCCATGTGTGTCCACTGGAGCGCCCCACGTCCAAAGAGCTTGAATCCGACCTCAAGAGGGTAGCTTTTACCAGAAAGGTAGCCGAAGGAGGTGTGGGGCCATCAAGCAAAAGGGCCAGGATGGGTGAGCTTGGCATTATGTTCTCTGACGCGGATTTGACGGGCGTGGTGATTCCTCATAAAGACGCCCTTGTCTTAACCCTGAAGATAGGGAAATTCGATGTCAAGAGAATCTTGATTGATTCAGGGAGTTCCTCGGAGGTGATGTACTTCGAGACTTTGAAGCGGATGGGTTTTGGCCCCAAAGACTTGACCAAAATCAGGACACCCCTCATCGGGTTCAACGGCTCTTTCGCCTTGCCCGTAGGGAAAATTACATTACCGGTCGCCACTGGTCCCTTCGTCATCGACACAGAGTTTGTGGTGATCGACACGGACTCCCCTTACAACGTGATTATGGGTCGAACATGGCTACACGCTTTGGGAGCGGTACACTCCACTCTCCACCAAAAGTTGAAGTTCGCCACGCCAGAGGGCGTCATGGAGATCCGGGGAGATCAAGCGTCCGCGAAGAACTGTTTTTATTCGGCCGTCCGAGCCGGGGCATCCGGCCAGGAGAAG